GGAGTGTAGGGTTCAGAGTTGAGGGGGGGCTATACATGGACTGAAAGCGGATCATGGTGTGATTGTAGCGTTGGGTACGAAACCTCATGCATGACCTTTAGTACCTCATTACTTGATTTGGGAGAATTCGTGGAATTGTGGAATTCTAGGCACCCCACGACAACCCATCCCGAGTAATGGACGATGGGATGTGGAGATTCCCACAGTTGACACTTTTAGAGTCTTGGGATGGTTTCAGCTTCATACACTTCTTGATAGTCTCGGGCTCAGGGGACTGTAGAACCAAAACAACTAAAAGGTTGCCAAGTGGACTATTTTGGGTTTAGGGCTTGGACCACTAGAAAGTCCACCCAACTATTCCACAGCATACATGGCGCGTTTAGCTGCCCTAATCCGTGAACCCTGCTTTTAAGGAGCTATTATGCCGTCCCCCCCCCCCTCCGCACAGCACCTGGGGTCCCAAAAATACTTACAGTTCTGTTAGGCAGTATTGGGGATTATTAGAGCTGATTGAGGCCTGTTAGGTCTTAGTAGAGGGGCCCGTGGCAGTCACGACCCTCTGTCCTGCCTCTTCCGTAAAGGGAAATGTCACAGGAGACTTGGCCCCTGGAGTCACCTCGCCACTGAGCACCTGTCAAAAGAAAAGAGGGCTTTCGTCATAACTGATGCGGGTCCTTGAAGGCTGCGATAAGGTTTCATGGCAAACGATCAGCCTCCTCGCATTCAACGTGCTTTCCCTACTCCCCACAGCCACCTACTTCTTTTAGTGTTCGGCAACAACGTCCGGTAGAATCCCTATCCATCGCTAACCCCCTTTCTTAGTCAGAAATACCCTCACTACAGGCAAGGATCCTCTTGAGGTACTTTGATGGAGTACATAAGGGCACTCATACCCTGCAACCAAACTTTCAACAAAACATGTCAAAAGGATTGCTGGAAACGTCCGACCGTCAACATGCTGAGGTTTGAAAAGTAAACCTGCCATTCTGAACCAAACAAGCCTTAAACCCTGAACCTCCAACTCAGGCCTTAAACCCTTAAACCCTCAAGCCCTAACCTGGGTGCTGCTTCATAGCATGACCAATGCAGGTCTGGGCCTGTAGGAGACCAGAACCCGTCGCTTCTCCTGCCAGTATCAGGAACAGAACTGGTACCAGTACTATGGATTTGGGGTTTAGGGTTCAGGAGTAGTACCAGTACTAGCACTAGTGTTTTGGGGTTGAATTTAGGCAGGGTTTAGGAGTAGTACGAGTACTAGTACTAGTAACTAGTACTAGTATTCATGATACAAGTGCTAGTACTAACGTTTTTGGGTTTCGGGTTTAGTAGTAATATTTTGGGGTTTAGGGTATGTTTCTCTCAGGTTCAAAGGGTTGTCAAAACTCTGTTTTCCGGGGTACCGACAATAAGTAGCCCTCTCGAATATGCAGGGTACCCGGATAGGGACAGCATCTTGACCGATTTTGTGGACTGCCTCCCGAAACGGGGGATGCCTATACATGGGCGCGTCATGTAAAGCCGAAAGCAGCATTATTTGAGAATTTGAGCTATCACATAAGATAAGTCTAGGAATCTAAAACCACGATACGGGTAATTATTCGGGCGTCTGCAGTATTATCTTGATGGGAACCCACATCCGGGAATGGGATGCTTACCACGCAAATTCTGCAAATAGCCACCCCGAACCCCAAAGAGAACCGTACATCTTGAGAAGTAAGGGGACTGTGAAACCCTGCATGCCTTGATACACAGTTCCTACACAACCATTTAGCCCTTCTGGGAATAAGCAACCAGCGGCAAATCCAGAGGTTGGACTTTCATCTGGAAAGTGCGCCCTTCGTTTCACATAGTTTTGGTCACAAGTCTGAGGCCTTTGGTTTTTGTGAATCCTTCGTTTTACATGGTTTTCATACTGGATCGCTGGAGGACTACTGGCTCAGGTGCGGCGATGCTGTCGGTCGCGCTTCTACGGTCTCCAATATGGAGGAGCAAACAAAAGGAACAAGGTGCTCTGCCAAGGCCTCTCGGTGCCCAACCCATGCTTAGAGACTGCAACGCTTCGCTGTCCCAGTGAAAGTGTAAACAGAACCGAAGGCACTGCCCTTGAGCTGTGAAGGTCGCTGAGTCTGAATCTGAAGGACACGACGGTAGAATATAACATAATGATATAATGTAATATAAATACTATAACGTAACATGTTCTAGTATGTTATGGCATATGCTGAGCATTTTCTGGCCAGCTGTGGTCCTGCTAGAAAGAGCACGACGGCGGCGTCCACATCGTGAATCCAAGGCATCACGATGGAGCCTTCCAACTTGGGTTGACACATGAGCTGTGGTCTAAACTCCTAGTATCCCCCTTAATAACTCCAATAGTAGTCTCCTACATAACCCCTCTTAACTTAAGGAGTTTAGACTGTAGCTCACATGAGTGTAAGACCGGGTCTTTCAAACTCAGAGCCACAGGGCTGAGACACTGCCCCGTTGAACAGCCAGTGCTGTGCGATTTGAATTTTGGGATTCGTGGCCTAGGGGGCTTGACTGAGTTCAATGTTAATGCAAGTAGGTTATATGTTATGTGCAAGCATGTAGGTATACAAAGGGCAGGGGCGAAGTAGGTACCAGCACTTGGCCGCCAATGATCGTCACTCTCAGCTCCTCATTCATTTTTTCGGATGGTGGTGAATGACGGGATACAAGGAGGGAACAAAGTCTAAGAAATAGCTGTCCGAGAGCATGCTACAGCAGAAAATCCCTGCTCTGTGTATAGCCCACCTCTTGTAAGAAGATTCTTCCTTCGAATTTAATATTGCGAAGGGCCGCGTGTCAAAATTACAGCTACATCGAATCAAACTTTAACTCCAAACCTGAACTGGAAGAGTCAAGACGTACGCATCATATCCCAGTAAAGTTCTCCTGATGCACATCCCAACAAGCTAAGGCCTGTCCCGTGTTAGCTTCACCTCACACAAGCCCTCCCTGAGCCCTAAAACCTCAAGCCCCGGCAAATCCCCTAATTAAACCCTAAACCCTAGACCCCTCCCTCAGCCCTAAAACCTCAAGCCAAGGAAAATACGAATTGCACAGGGCAAAGGCAGGTGCAACAACTCGGTCAAGAACCACCAAAAACTCCCGACCTGAACCCTATACAACTTGCATAAACACCAAACCCCAAACCCTAAACCTTGAACCCCAAACCCTAAACCCAGACCCTAGACTCTAGACCCTCCCTAAACCCTAGATCCCAAACCCTAAACCCTAAACCGGAAACCTTAAACCCCAAACCCTAAACTCTAAACCCTGATCCCTAATCCCTGAACCCATAAACCATTCGTAAATCCTGGACCCTGGTGCCCTGAGCTCCCAGGGAGCCTGGGATGAGGCTCACAGAAACCTTTGGGATGGAAAGGTTACCTGCAGCCACTGCCATCACCTGAGTTCAGGTTTAGGGCTTTGGTTTAGGGATTCGGGTTCAAGTTTTACATAGGGATTAGGGCTTTGGTTTAGGGATCAGGGCTTAGAGCTTGGGTTTCGGGATTAGGTTTAGGGTTTAGGGGTGATGTCCCCAACAATGGAATCAAATGGAACAGAAAATGGAGACGGAAATGGATGCTTGCATATATACATATATATATTTATTTGGGCTAGGTAGGGGTTAGAGGAAACGATTATATAGGGGTTAGAGGGCCTAGGGACTTGGGTTAGGGTCTAACGTACCTAGGACATCGGTCTGATGTTTTTGCAATGTTTTCAACCTATCACCCTCCTAAACCCTAAACCCTACGGCTCAATGGGTCGAACCCTAACCCCTGAGGCACGGATATTGTCTTTGTTCAGATAGCCCCACTCGGACCCTCAACTTTGTAGCATGTGCAGGATATAAGTATATCTATGTACATATGCAGCCATGGTATATATCTACACACATCCCGAGCGTGTTATATGAGGGCGCATACTTCTTCCCTGCACCCTCAACCCTTGGCCTACGATTCTTTGTCCCCTCGTGGTTTTCGCTTGAATAATTGTTTTGGTGGCTGAACCAGATAAAGTTACATTCTTCTTCTCGAATACTATACCTGAAAGGAAGCTGCAGTCTTACTCTTCATGCCCCACTCGCATGTCCTCAAGTTTCCTTGCTTGTCCTGACTTGTCTGGAGGCTCAGAAGGTGACTGCGGTAAGTTTCTATGGTATTTGATGCTGAGCCTAGGGCTTGGGTTTTAACACTTCTGGTTCGAGGATGCAGTTCTTTCAGCTGAGGCACATAGTCCTCCTGGTCCACGGACAAGTTGGGGCCTCAGTTCGCAAGAAATGGGTGGTTGTCAAAATTATGGTCCCTTTTTGGGTCCCTATTATAGTACGGCGCCTAATATTTAGGGTACCCAAAAAGGGACTATAATTTTGACAACCACCCAAATGAATGCAAGCAAACTCCCCTCACTTACTTCGCGCCCCGTTCTCCTGGTGGCTCCCATCTAGGCGCCAGGTGGAGATCCGGAACATGTCAAAGCCCCGGAAGTGGCGAAATGGTGATGTCATAGGTGGACCCCCCAACCAGCAATAGTGACAGTAAGGGATCATGGCGAATATGTTACCGTCCTATAATATTTTTGTGGTATATCAGTATTACAGAGGGGTCTACCCTAAACCCTAGACCCGGGTCTACCTAAGTGATGACATAGCAGTAACAGTCGCTGTAAGTACTGCTGGCCTGACTCCGCAAAAAAAAAGGTGCCATCATTTGAGCTACTGTCTAAACTCCGGAAAAGGGGTTATATAGGGTGTCAGCAAGGATGCAAATAGTGTTGTAAAACAGCTTTACACCGATATGCTGGTACGCCGTTACGCCGACCGGTGCGGAAATACGCCGATGCGCCGCTCGAGAGCAGAAATGCGGGAAAACGCCGATTGGCCGGTACGCCCATCGGGGCAGGTCATATAGAGGATTACATAGAGGAGTATTAGGGGGGTTAAAAGGGGGATAGGAGGAGTTTAGACTATGGCTCATTAAGCCCCAACAATATCCCGAACCCTGCGCTCGCGAGTTTTCTTAGAATCCCCCCACCCACACTCCCGGCACCATCCCCCTCAAACAAAATTGACCCTCAACCCTAAACCCCCAAACCAGAAGCCGTGTCCCACAGTTCTGCCCAAAAGTTGCTGGAGCTTGAATTGGATGCGTCAGTATTGGTGTCTGGGCGGTTGACGTAGACCCATGATTAATAAGCACCCTCATTTTAAGGGCCTGAATATCAAGATCTATATTGTAACCCCCTTTAATGTCGGAGGGGGTATATGAATCAAGTGTCTGTAGTGTCGTACTTTGTGAACCTGCAGATTTGTCACAAGAAGCTGCCTTTCGACCGCGAAGTAGTTGCCATAAACCATTTTCAGTCACAAACCGGATCCTCCGCAAAGAGCTGCTGCTTCCACGCACTATCAATGAGAATCCGATCCAAGTACCAATCTGGGCTAACAATTGCTATGTAGGAGCCAGTTTGGGTCCAGCGTTCCATAAGAGTGGAGGGCTTCCAGATAGACCTAGGACTCAAACCTACCCAAATCCAGTCCTATACCCTAAATCCCTGCTGAAAAGCCACCCGACAGGCCCTAAGCCCCTAACCTCCCCTCCTGGGCAAACGCATCACAAGTTTACGGTTTAGCGTTTTGATGTTGCCCAAAAAGTCACTCCAAGGTGTTGTTAAGAGCTGGCCGTGCTGTCCTCCCTCAAAATGCGGTGTGACACCTCAGCCCCATAGAACCCCTGTAACCCCTTTTCAGGGATCCTAGGCCCTATCCCAAAGGGTTCATGTAGCTAGATGAGCTACGCTCAAAATTCCATACCCGGCTAGTGGACATGCGCTTGGGGTTATCGCTTTTAATTGTCTCCCCTATCGTTTTTCAACATTTTTGCCGTTTTCAGTGAAATGACTACTTAACACTTCTTAAGCAGCACGGCTCGCTGTATCATGGTTATCGTTTTGTTTTTCTCCCCTATTGTTTTACAGGGTTTTCAGCGTCAGCCACTAAACTCATTTCCACCCGAGATATGATCTAACGGCTGGGAATTTTGACTGTCGCTCATATTATATATACTTGGACCTTACAGGTATATGGGAACCCTTTGGGTCCCAAGTATATGCCTACCTTAAACCCGAAGTCCCAAACCCTAAACCCTATACCCTACACCCTAAGCCCTAAACCCTAACCATAAAACCCCTACAGCTTCATCCCTTCCAAGGGATCTTCAGGCCTACGTAACCCTGACCCGCTCAAAGCCTTGCCCGCAAGGCTGCCACGGATCAGGCTCTGAGTGTTTAGGGAGTTGGGGTTTACCCCAAGGCTCCATGTAGGTACTATTTCAAAGGTTCAGGGCCCAATGTAGGTATTATCTGTATAGTTAGAGCCCCAGGGTTAGGGTTTAGGGATATAGGGTTCAGGGTTTAGGCATATAGGGTTTAGGGTGTTGGGATCGGTTTAGGGTTTAGGGAGCTGGGCGCCCCGCGGTCCCGGCCCTCCGCAGAGGTGGTCGCGGAGCAGATCCTCAGAATTTCCGAAAGTTAGGGTTGAGGGTTTAGGGTAAGGGGTACCATTTTAAGGGTCCCCATGACAAGGATTGCAATATTTTGGGGGTCTATACTGGGATCCCCGTATTTTGGGATAGTGTTGGAACTTCAGGCTTTTGGGGACTTAGGGTCCAGATCTGCTTTTTGTAGATATTCCCTAAACGGGAGACCCCAATCTAAACCCCAAAAACATGATGATCCTCATTCATTGTTGGAGTCCCACAAAAGGTATCCCTAATTTTGGGATATCCTAAATCCTATATAGCCCCTATCTAACCTCCATACCGCCTCTGTTCCGCTGAAATCGACACGAATCGTCGTTTGAAGCATTTGCTATCAGGGTCGGGTTGAGGGTTCAGGGGTTTAGGGCATCCTGACTCCTGAAGCCCTTCAACACCCCAATGCGAAGCTTAGGGTTTAGGGCTCAAGGTTGGGGCTTAAGGGGTTAAGGGTTTGGGGTGTAAGGGTATAGGTATAGGGTTTAGGGCTTTGTTTCAGCTTGGCGGACATGCTCTGTAATATCCTGATGCTTAAATCCAGCCCTTGAATACCCTAGTAGTGATTGCTGCTTAACCACCCAAACCAGGAAGCACCTTCTTATCAACAAAATGGAATGCAGGAGACTTTCCTGCTGTTTCTTATCAAGCCTTGAGTTTGTCTTCTGAAAGTCTCTACCGTTTTTCCCATGGCTTACAGAAATCCCACCAACCTGCCCCACCCAAACACTTATGCAGCCCTTCAACACTAAACCTTGTGCTAGCCAAGAAGCACTGCAAGATCAGCTGACTGCGCCGTAGCCAGGGCAGCCTTGCCAGCAGAGGTGCATGGTGATTTGAGGATTCAATATTTTGAGGCTCATCATGTTTACTTAGGGTTGTTCTATAGCATCATCTAGCCGGGATCCATACCACCTTCCCAGGCTGCAGTGAACGGATCCCCGTGCTAGCCCCCTAAGGCCCGTTGGGGATCCACAAAGCGGGGGTCGCCTGCTTGGATGTCCAAGACCCACTGCAATGACGACAGTCAAGGGACAAAGTGAACATGCGTCGAGATTATACGTGAGCCGCAATTCCTGTTGCCAAGTCCGGACTAGTTCCCAAACCAGGATGCCCAGATGCAAATGCTTCCCCAAATTTGATATTCTACACCTTATGTAGGGGAGATCTGTGTGGCCCCAACAAAGAACTCACAACAAAGACAAAAATCAAAAGCTACCACGCAACACGATTCCGAAACATGCATCCGCCAAAAAAACGTGGCCCCTCAATGGCAGGATCATGTCCACAACCGCACATCTAGTTCGTGAGAATTCCAGCAGGCGCAGGAATCTCCATGAAAACAAGCAACTGATTAAGGTGGCGGTGCTTACATCAATAACGCTCGGATTCCCATTTGAAACTCCATATTCACATGCTGTCATATGAGGTGAACGCTTGCACCAACCCCTCTTTAGGTAAACAAAGTATATATATATATATACATGTCTAAATCCCTGGCTCCGACCCCCTCCCACATCTTCCCACATTCGCAACTCAGTCCACATCTTCTTGCCATGTCCACTCTCAACAAGGCCTAAACCCTAAACAGGCGGTTTAAAGTTTAGGGTGTGGGGCTACACGCTAGGCTCTGAGGGGCTTGGTGAGTCGTTAAAATGAATGTCCCTGGTCGTGTAGGACATGTACCCTAAGTATTAGGGGTCGTTCCCGGGGCCATATTGCACCAAAGACCCGAGAACGAACATGACTTTGACAACCTGCCGGATTGGGTTGACCCTATACTTCTGCTAAAATCCTCAACGGTTTAGGGTTTGGGGCCCTTCACCCTAAACCCCAAAACTCCCTGCCTGAGCATTATCCTGGAGCTCAGAGACCACGGTGCATCCTGCCTGCTGTGGAAAAGCTGCTCTTTTTGGGGCTCCTTGATTAGCACCACAAGGTACCCCGTAACAGATACACTCCTGGAAACTAACATGGAAACCCATAAAGGGCCCTATAAAGACCAGTCCCTTTAAAGGGGGTCTACATGGGCTTCCATGTTAGTTTGGGGGAATGTAGATAAATGTATGTAGACTTGTATATAGATATACGTATCTATACACATCTGTGTTTGCAGAAGAGTCTTATAAACATTGATTGAAGCAAAGTAAACGAAACGATCAATCTTCCCACAAAAAGCAACGGAAATATCAAAAATTACAGGCACTAACCTGTTTCCATTTTACTACTTCCCAGGCTCACTGTTGATTTATGTATCACTCGCTTTAAGGAGTTTAGACCCTAAATCCATGGCAGGGGAAGCTTCGACCCCAAGAGTATAAACTATGGCAAAGGACACCGCGCTCAGGCTTTCCTGCACGATGGCTAGTCCGCCGACTGGCCTAACACCTCAAGCCTTGTTTGCATAGGCATTTCCTAGGGTTTAGGAATAGTAACCCAAAAAAAGGAATCAAATCGGAAAGAACGCGGAACATGAAATGGAACGGGGGATTATAGTATTGCTAAACACCAGTGTTATGTATAGACGCTGAGTATCAGGAACAACAGGAAATTGCCCCAAAACCCTAAACCCTTGTTACAAATCCCAACTTAGTCACTCCTTGTACGGATCGGAGGAATGGAAAAGGAAATCGAAACTACTATATCATATAGGGATTATACGGGGGTTGTATAGGGTCATATACGGGTTAGCGTCCTAAACCCTCAGCCTTGAGGGTTTAGGATTTAGGAGGGCTTAGGTTCAGGGAAAAAACGGAAACGGGTATAGTCCCCCTCCTTAAGTAGATAGAATACGAGTATATGGGGATCTTTTTATGGCTGTGGTCAAAGCCATATTCTATCTACTTAAAGGGGACTATACACTATGGCTTGACTGCTAAACTTTGGGGGTCCATTCCTCCCCCTAAGACCTAGAGCTATCATAGCATCGGGTTTAGGGTTTAGGCTTCCATTTTCCTTTCCATTCCCTGATAGACCTACACCTTAAACCCTAAACCCTGAACCTCAACCCTGAACCCTAAACCCTAAACCCACCGCTGCCCTGAAAAACATTGGAGATGCCCTTCGAGGATAGGAGTGATCTGGGGATCTTGTGAAAAATATATGGGAGTTTCCCAAAATTAGCGATGTTACACCCAGTGATAGGGTTGATATAGGGTTATGTAGGATTATATAAGGATTATATATGGGAGTTTCCCAAAAATAGGGATGTTACCCCAATGATAGGGATTATACAGGGTTGTTTAGGGTTATATATATATATATATAAGGATTATATAGGGCTATATAGGGATTATATAAAGGAGTTTCCCAAAACCAGGGATGTTACCTCAATAACGGAGAATCAATTAGAAAAGAAATGGAAAATGAAATGGAAACTGGCATTATAAAGGGGTTTATAAGGCTTAGGGTTTAGGAAGGAAACACTAGTTGTTATAAAAGATTATAGGTTGGGTTCGGGTCCCGCCCCCGCTCTCAACAGTTGGACAACAAAAATACTACAAGTATATGTAGACCTTCATCTTACCCTGGGTGGGGGCAGTACCCAGACTATAGGATATTGCTTGCTTGGATTGGTAAGCTGGGCCTTTCCCCCCTAAACCCTGAACCCTAAGCCCTAAACCCTAAACCCCACAAGCCTTCAGCCATGAGTTCTGCAATCCCTATCTTCACGGCTAAGCCTTGTAGCAGCCCTACATAACGGGCACAAAAGAGACCCAGGAGTTAGGGTTTAGGGTTGGGGTGAGAAGCTTGAGGGCGAAGACGCTGAACCCACAAAAGCATCCATCCACCTGGCACGCCCAACGAAGAACCCTGAACAATATTCGGGTTCCCCGGGCCCTACGAGCTAAGTTTGAAGAGAAGGCCACAACAATGAGGCCGGCAGTTCAATATGGCCTCACTAAGCACATGCATCTACCTCAGCAAAAATAGTTAATACTATCATAGTAGTGATAAGAATAAGAGTAGCAATAATGGTAATAGTACTAGTAATAATATTTAGTAATAGTAATAGTCACAGTGATAACTATAAAGCCCTGTTTATTCGAAGAGGGACTGGGAATGAACAAATATGTCCACTGGCCTTCTGGCAGTAGGCAATCGTGGCATCCAAGATGGTGCTGAGCAGAATCACAGGTTGAGAGCCCCCTTGCCCCTTAAATCTAGGGTTTAGGGTTTGGGGCTTCTTGTATGTAGTAATATCATGCGACATAGTACACCCTACACCTTAAAGCCTAAAACCCCATGACAGAAGGAGTTGTGTTTTTCGTGTTCCATCAGGCTGCGCTTAAATGAAGAATGGGGTTTAGGGTTCGACCAAAGCACCCCAACTTACTTGAACCCTTATCAGCGGCACCCCATTTTGCAAAGGAATAGGAAGCAACCTCAATCCCTATTATACTACCCCAATATCCAATTATTGTTCAATGTCTTTTTCCATATGAGTCTCCGTTGTTGGGGTAATATCCCAACACCCTATAAGCCCCAAAGCCTGAACCCTATAAACCTGAGTAGACTCTAAAGTAACCCCCAGCAAGTGATAAGAATATGTAAGAATTGGACCGCTTCGGACGAAGAAGAGACAGGTTGGATACTACCCGCAATCGGTAACAGTTGGATAACAAATTTACTATAACTATACATGAGCCAGTGTCTAAACTCCTAGTATACCCCTTAATAGCCCCTATAGTAGTTCCCTGAATATCTCTTGTATAACCCCCTTTCAGGAGTTTAGACTATAGCTCATATGGACCTTATGTACATCTATTACAGACCCCACTCTGTAACAGCTGGATTATGTTCATACTATAGTGATATATAGCCTTATTATGAAGACTGTTGCAGGGCGGGCGCAGAACCCAAGGGACAGGTAGATCAAGGTTTACTTGGCTAGACTGGGTTGCTGTAGGGGTTAGGGCTTTGGGGTTCAGGGGTTTAGGGATTTGGGATTGAGGGGTTTAGGTTGTAGGGGTTTAGGCGTTAGGGTTTCAGGGGCTCAGGGTTTAGGGGTTTAGGGGTGTAGATGAGGAATTTAAGCTAAGGGTTATATAGGCGTAATGGAAAAGAAAACAAGTGTATGGTTTTAGTGGATGGTCAAAGTTTAGGTTTTAGAGTTTTGCGGGTAGGGCTTGCTAAGGAACTTGAATCAAGTTACCATGAATGTCTATATAACAAATAATACGTATATAGTTACCCACAGGATTTCCTAACTCAACTTCAGTTTGTTATCAGCATCCCAGTAGACGGACGCCAAATCCTGTCCCAAAGGGGACGCCTGGACCTCTAACAATCGAACCCTGGTAAGCCTGTGCAAATTGCTATAAGCCCTGCTGATCGCTCAACCGTTTAATCCCCAAACTACTACACCTGTAATCTCGTTACCTGCATCCCAGATAAGAACCCCCAATCAACTCGATTCCGTAATCCCCAACAGGCACAACCATGGTGGTCGTGAAAAGTGCTCCAGGAATCTCTACTTGGAGGTTCAGGGTACGTATAATCCAAATCTAACCCAATTATAAGCCTAAACCCTAAAACCCTAAACTCTCAAACCCTAAACCCTAAAACCCTAAACCCTAAAATAAATCTAACTGTCCTTCTACCCATATGCAACCTAAGACCCTCGTCTGGTCATACCTGGCTCATAGATACCAATTATGCTTTTTCGTATAGATATACGGGATTTTCCCAAAATTAGATGTACCTTAGTACCTTTTTGGGGGTCCCTATAGTAAGGACTATAGTATTTCGGGGTCTACATTGGGGTCCCCCTATTACGGAAACTACCATGCTTACTGAGGAGGGTTTGGGTTTGGGGGGCTCCCCTACAGCCTAAACCCGTGCAGGCACAAAACAGCTGAACCCTGAACAAATCCTGAACCCCAAGCCCTAAACCCTAAACCCCAAGCCCTAAACCCTAAACCCGAACTCTTAAAGCCTAAACCTTGAGCTTTAAAACCCAATCAATCCCTGCCTGGGTCGCTTCGGGATGACCCTCCCAGAGCCACCCACCGTGTAGTAGTTCCCTAGGTCCCACCTGAGCTGAGGCACGGCGTATTTTAGGGTTGAGTTTTGTAGTGTATCATATTTCACTATGATTGACTCAGCTTCCAAAGTAGAATAGTATGGCTTTTGCAACCCCAACTCCCAAGATTATGAAACCCATTTTAGGAGATGATAGTTCTGGTGCTCTAACTTGGGGGGGCTATTGCCAAGACCCTCTTGGGTCGGGGCTTGCGGGTCTCGCCATGGAGCCTATGCCCTAGGAGGGCTTAAGGGGTTTGCCGCGTAGGGGTTGAAAGGGTTTAGGGTTTAGGGATTTAAACTGGCTCTTATTTGGGGGGGATACTCATCTTAAACAACGATCCACCAGTCTTACTGTAAGTCCTTTCCCCGATGCACACAAAAATGTATCTATATGTATACAGGTATATGTGCGTGTCCGCGCTATATTGGGAATACTCACTTTTCGGGGTGCGCTGGATTGCTAGAAGAGAGAGTTGTGCAAGTTCAGAATGCGTTGTGCGAAGCAGTATGTATGATGTGACTCTTATTTGCGGAGCCGAGGTGGGCACTGAATAAGGGGTTTAGGGTTAGGGCTTCGGGTAAAAAGATCACTCACCAACATTCTTAAGGAGCCATGTTTTGCTCATATGCTCAGCAAAGCCTAAAATTCAACCTTATCCGATTTGGGGGGGGGTACGGTATGTGCTGCATAGGGACTCTGGGATTCTGCGCCCCAAGCCCCAATCGAGCAGTGACCCTAAAGATTGTATGTCTACTACGTAAGGCCATATGAACCATAGTCTAAACTTCTAGAATCCCCCTTAAAAACCCCTATAGTAATCCCCTAGAAAACCCCCTTTAAGGAGTTTAGATTGCAGCTCATATATGCTTGAAACGTTGAAGCAGGTTTCTGACTTGAAAAAGTCCTTCGAGAAAGGATCCCAACCCCAGATCCTGCATATGGGTGCTTGTCAAAGTTATGGTCCTTTTTTGGGATCCCTATTATAATGCGGCACCTAATATTTAGGGTACCCAAAAAGGGACCATAATTCTGACAATCACCCATATTTGGGGGGACGTATGGTGTTTCAGAGGGAGTGGGAGATCGAACATAGGCAGTAAAAGAGAGGATGATTATCATACAGATCCCATCTTCCACTCACCCTGATTGAAGAAAGCAATTTAGTTTTCTTACTTTTATGAATAGTACTATTCTTACTTTTACTAGTATTATGAAAATGACTATTGTTGGTATTACAACAATGTTGGGGGTCCCAAAAATAAGGATCCTACTATATTGGGGTCTATATTGGGGGTCCCCACATTTTGGGAAACTACCGCATTGGGAGGGTATGGTAAAGCAAGCTGCTGGCCCAGCATGGCATCCACGTCGTTGGACGCGTTGCAGGCCGAACCCAGCAGGGCAATCCTTGGTTGCATATCTCCAGCATTTAGGGTTTAGGGCTTAGAGTTTAAGGCTTAGGATTTAGAGTATGGGCCTCCCGACATGGGCCTGTAGTTCTGGAGTCCTACTGTCACCACAGTAGGACTAGAACGATACCCCTTGGGCTCTACTATCCAGCGGAACAATGTTAACGGTTAACGCCCATGCCATGGGCACTTGGCTGCAGCCTCCAGCTTTTCGGCCTTGTTGGGGTATAGGCAGGAGATATGAGCAGTTTCAAGAAGTAGTAGGATTCACTCTACCTCAGACGGCGGGATGCCTGCCCAGCCCGGAAGGTTGCAGGAAAAGGGGCCAGAATTTCAAGAACAACACCGTAGTAACCTTCTGGTTCTGACCCACAGGCCTAGGTAAGTACTGTGGAGGGAGGGAAACCTCGCACCAACTGAGATACTCAGTAAACCCTAAAGCGTGGGGATTACAATGTTACATGCCCCAGTGGTGCAAGGTTTCCTCTATCCACCGGTACGCATGATAGGGGTCAGGCAGTGAACCGGCGGGGACAGTGAACAACTCCCAACTTGCTGAACCCTAGGGCTAGACCCTCAAGTCCGTACTAAGAAAACCTCGAGGAGACTCCAAATATGGTAATTTCCTGAATAGGGGCACCCCAACACAGACCACAGAATAACATAGGCCTTGTTAAGTTATTGGGAACCACCCAAGAAGGTACTCCAAATTGGGAAGCATGCGGGATCCGAGGGAGTCTCTAGGGAGATCTTGGAGAGTCCTTAGCTACATAATTGGGTTTAGAGCTTCAGGTTAGGGTTTACGCTAAACCCTAGACCCTGAACCCTAAAAAAGTCTAACAAATCAGGGTGCGGGGGCTCGGTGTTTAGGATCGGGTCCTGTCAAGGCGATTTGGTGCCAGGCTTTGGCGAGCCACAGTCCGCAAAACCGCTTTTCACATACGACATAGACCCTGCATCCGCACCCTAACTAGTAGTTTCCATTTTCTTTTCCAGTATCCCTATATACCCCAAGTACACGAGAGTAGTTTCCGTCTTCTTTTCCATCATCCCTCCAATACATAATCAATTCTCCATCACCTCTAGCATCATGCTTTTCCGCTTTGTACCCCAGAGGCCACCCCGACATGTACACCCATGCATTTTCCGAATGAATCTGCATATCCTCGCCAACCCCCCATGAGATCAAAACACCAAATTTGAAACATAAAAATCTAAGATATATGATATATCCCCATACGCCCCTATGAACCTCCCTCTCATTCTATCAAGAATCTAGGTATATGTGCATATGTACAGACAGATACATACATACACACATACACACATACATACATACATACATGCATGCATGCATGCATGCATGCATGCATGCATGCATACATGCATACATACATGCACACATGCATACATGCATACATGCATACATGC